AACCGATTAAGCCGTCAAGTTTTTATTGACTTATCCGATTAGTTAATAATTAGTGATTGAATGTCAATTTGTTTAAATATTAACTAGAGTTTCTTAATATTTAAACTTTAAGTTAAGCACTAACAAATAACTAGCTTACTAAATTTGTCAATTTAAAAAAAGAGAAGTAATTGATAAAATTTATTGTTAATGATACATAATTTCGTATTGTATTTGACAATTTGGTATTCTTATGATTAGCCAGCCTATAAAATTATCAGCCAGTCAAAATGCTAAGCGACTGGCTAAACAGCAGCTCGGAACATTAAAAAAAATTTTTGTTATTACTTTTGCCAACAAATTACAAGGTCTAATACGTATATTAATACTACAAAATTTTAATTTTATATTTTAAACAGAAATTTGTTAATTTTAAATCTAAATATCTAAATAAAGTCAAATTTTTGAAAATTTACTAAGATGCGTTTTATTACCTATGTTATATTATCTTTATGCTGGCTCTAAGTAAAATGCATTAAACTCCCTAAGGCCCGTTGTTTACCGAAAATACCCTATTTGGAAATGTAGAATGTTTAATTTGGTTTAGTTAGTGAAGATCACGAATAAATATGAATGTGGGTTGATCGTTCTATGTAATTTGCTATAGCAGAGTGTCCAGAAATCTGCACGGAATTATGCTCTTGTCCTGCTTGCTGAATAATAACCTATTAATTGATATAGTTTATTGTATTTAATAACAGAATCTGCAAATTTAGCAGAAATTGCAGCAGAATTCTGGACACTCTAATGAAGCGACTATAAATTATATAGATTTGTAGTATTGTTATTACTCAAAATTTTGCTTATAAAACTACTTTGGGGGTTCTAACAAAAAATAATCTATGCAAAATTTTAGTATAAAATACTCTCTAAACCTAACCTCTAACCCTAACCCTAACCCTAACCCTAATATTAAGTGGGGTTTTTTTTTATGAATTTTTGTTGCCCGGATTTGCAAATCAATTAATTAATACCCGTGTGTACACACTAGTGTAGGCTTAGAAATTTTCAATTATATAAACTATATATATATATATATATATATATGGGATCTTTGCTAGGAAAATGACCCTACGAGCCATTGTTACACAAGATTTTTATTAAGAAAAACATAATAAATCTATTTTTAGAAAAAAAAATTCCTAGCAAAGATCCCATATAATAATTGAAAAAATTTTTTTTTTTTTTGTGAAATCTAGATTTTCAAGTTAATCCGGTTTAAATCTATTCGTGAATGTTTGTATGTAATCTTTATAATTATTTTACTATTTATTATTTACAAGCTTGTTTTAGTTTTGCTATAAATTTTAGTGATTGTTAGAATTTTTGAGTTCTCTATTATTATTCGCTTAGCTTTTTGTAAAGATTGAATAAAAAATCTTGTTTTTAAGTTTTATAATCAAGTTTTTCTTCGTAATGGATCAATTTACTGATCAATTTGCATATACCCCTACTCTGTTTATTGATTATGTTCCACCTTCTCAAGATAAAAAAGAAATTAATTCCGTCGATCTAAAACTTTAAATAAATATGAATTTGTAGAAAGTGAACCGGATTCTGATGAAGTTATTCCGAGTAGCAAATTTTGGAAAGATTCTGAGACAAGAGCTTTGTTTTATTTTCTTGCTGAACATTTTGATATGTATCGCAAAAATAAAACAAAGTTTTATGCAACTGCTGCGATTGAAATTGGAAATAATCGAACTAGTGCTCAAGTTAATGAAAAAATCCAGTCACTTAGATCTAGATATGAGAAAGAAAAAAAAAGAAACAGGAAAAGCTAGATCGAAGTGGCCATATTTGGATGAAATGAACGAACTATTCGGAAATAGGGAAAATGTGAAACCCCGATTACTTATTATCTAGCATTGATAACGATAATAATAATAATAATAGGGTAAAAATAATAAATATATACAATTGATTTTAGTAAAAATCTGATTTTTACCTATTATTTAATAGCATACTGAAAGTGATATCGAAGATCACCATTAAGAGAGACTAAAAAAAAGTTTGGATATAGTAGAAGAGCGTTTAAAATGGAAAAAAAGAGAAATTTAAAAAAGAACAGGATCTCAAATTTAAAATAGAAATGGAACGACTAGAAAAAGAACTTCAATATAATTTAAAAATTAAAGAGCTCGAATTGAAATATAAAGAAAAGATGTAGTTTGAATTTTTTTTAAATTACATGTTACAAAGATATCATTAAATAACTATTTAGTAACAATTTCAACTTTGACTTTTACATTTTTTACATATTAAACATAATAAACAACAAATTTTTAACCGGTCTAAAAAGATAACCACTTTATTTTTAATGTTCGAAGCTTTTAAAAATGTCTATTAATAAATTGACGATACCTTTAGTTCTGATGAGGAATCTATCCTATCGATTAATAGCTCTTCTGAGGATGAAAATTTTTTCAAAGAAAGTAATTCTTTTAATAAAATGATAAAGAGAAAATTTTTCATGAAAAAAAATAATTCTTTTAATGAATTCTTTGAGAATTTTGACATCAATGATACATTTGAAGATAGATTTCTTTTTCCCAATAAACTTCTAGATCTTCACCTGAAATAGAAAGTTCAAAAAATATTTCTTACATTATAAAGCACTACACTCTATGTTACTATCTCAAGACATTCAAAAAAAATTGGATTTGTCAAAAAACAATTCTCAAAGAACTTGGTAAACCAGCATAATTGCATGTGGTAAAAAAGGTTGAAATAATAATAATTTTCGTATCACTATAATAAAACCATCTCGTAAAATCTTAATTTGTGAGAGTATAAAATCTTCATTTTTTTAAACACTTCTAAATTCTTTTTTGGGATACT